GTTAAGCGACTGCCTTCGGCTCGGGTCATGATCCCGGAGTCCCGGGATCGAGTTCCGCATCGGGCTCCCTGCTCGGCGGGGAGCCTGCTTCTCCCTCTGACCCTCCCCCCTCTCATGTGCTCTCTCTCAAAAAAAAAAAAAGAAAGAAAGAAATTACCCTAAATTGGCCAATCAGCATAGCTCGCTGGAGACAGAATGACACGGAGGTCAACTCCGAGGCCAGGAGACCTTGCCTGGGATGCTGGTTGTGCTACTTCTGGGTCCTTATGGACCTCCCTGTGACTCAGTCTGTCCTCAGTACCATGGGAGCTAATAACAGTGCCCACCTCCTCTGGGGGGAACGGATGATTAACTGCTAATAATTGAGAAGCGTGCCTAGGAGAGAGTAAGCACTCTGTGAATGTCATCTCCTTCCGCTTCTTCTTTGAGCCAGAATCTGTTTATCTTTAATCATGCGTCTGGTCCAGCCTCATCTGGTCATACTTATCTGACGGTCACGTACCTAAACAGCTGATCCCGGACGGCCTAACGTCCCGTTTCGTACCACCTTTGAAAACCAGGATTTCAGTCCATTAACAGACTGTTCTTACAAGTGCCATGGGCTGCCTACGGGGTCAGCGACCCCAGCTCCTGTCAGCAGCCCCCGCCCCCCACGGACCCACAGGTCCCTTTCTCCTACAGCAGGAGTACTGGAGGCCCAGTACCTAGGGAAGGAACCCATCCTTCCCTGATGACCCCCAAAAGGAGAAAGATGCAGGCTGCATGGCCAGACCTTTCCTACATAACGGGAGGGAACATGGCCCCTGCTGAATGTCCAGGAAGCCCAGAGGCTGCCTGCCATCTCCCTGTCTGAGCTACTCCTGCGTGGAGGTGACGTGAGAAGGTGCTCAAAGATACCCCATGGCCTCTAAATTCTCCCAGTGATCCAAGCATGTCCCCCATTGCTGCTCATGCCCCAGACTCCTGTCCCCATGGCTCCTACACTCCACTCAGCCCACCGCAAGCAACCCAGATTCACGTCTCTCTTGGACCCTTGATCTTAAGCACGTGACTTTTTTTTTAAACTGTGATAAAATACACCTAAAATTTACCATTTTTACCCTTTTTCAATGAGGCAGTTCAGTGCCATTAAGCACATTCACAATATGACCCATCCCCACTGTCTAGTTCCAGAACCTTCCCGCCACCCCAACAGGAAAACCGATATCCATCAAACATCACTCGCCATTCCTCCCGCCTCCCAGTCCCTGGCAACCACTAATCTACTTCCGGTGTCTGGATTTGCTCATTCTGGGCATTTCATAGAAATGGAATCATAATGCTATGCAGCCATTTATCTCTGGTTTCCCTCACTCTGCAAACCATCCTCAAGGTCCATCCAAGTTTGCGTGTATCGGTACCTCATTCTTTTTTATGACCGAATGCTAGTCCCCCGTATGGACGTGCCACGCTGCATTTACCCATTTGTGCAGCAATGGACATGTGGGCTGTTCCCACCTTCCGGCTATCACGAAGTCAAGCACTTGACCTTTAACTGACTTCCAGTTTTCAACTCTCCACTACATTCAAGGTCTAATAGCAGCTGCTGGGAAGGCTGTAACAAGGACCCCCAGCAGTCCCCTCAGCTGCCCCCACACCCGCACTGGGCAGCACCACCTTTTCCCTCCCAAGGTCCTCTCAAGACACCTCCAGCAAGCTGACCCTCCGCACCTGTCCTCATGCCCACAAGTCCTGCCGTAATCCCACCTTCCCCGTGAGCAAGTGAGCAGGCAGGAGACCTCTGCTGGGCTCAATTCACCTCCTTCATCACCCCACGCGGGCACCTCCCCATCTCTCATCCTCACCAGAAGACGGGTGAGTGCAGGACAGTAAGACGTGCTGAGCGAGAGACTGAGTTCACGTTTGCTGTAACTGTTCTATTTCATTATGAGTTATTGTTGGTCTCTTACTGTGCCTGATTTATATGTTAAACTCTGCCACAGGGATGCATGTATGAGAAAAAACACAGTATGAACAGGGTTCTGTATTATCCGTGGTTTCAAGCATCCACTGGGGGTGTTGGGGACGTATCCCGCATGGATAATGGGGGTGGGGGGACCACTGTCTCAGGAAACCAGATCAGACAGAACTCAGGCCCCAGGCTCCCAATTTAGCCAGTGCTCTTTCCTCCCCACTGTCCCGCCCCCCAACACCTGGCCAGTATTGCATTCAAGTGTTACCAGTTGGTTTTCCATACTCACCCAACCTATTCTTTATCTTGCAAAACGAGAGCCAAAAACGAGAAAGAGCCAAGCTAATCCAGGCTGCAGGTGTATATAAACCCGATTTGCTTCCATGAGAAAAAAATGGAAGGGCCGAGAGGCTCCCAGATGGGACACATCTAAGGTCAGCCCCCAGCCCAGCACCCCCACCTGAGAGCACCTGAGGATGAAGCCCTTCCTACAGCTGCTGGGCTCCTCAGAGTTCTCTGCAGGTCCCCCTGCGGCAGAAGGTGCCTCGCAGGGCCCCAGGTGGGGGGAAACTGGACACGGGAGGAGTGTTTATACCAGGGAAAGTAGCAAATGCTACAAACCAGGCCTGGCCCAGCCAGTTGTCAACCATTTCCCCGGGCGCTTCTGCCCGCGGAGAGCTCTATAAGGGACCGTGGAAGAAGCCGATCACTGTCCAAGATCTCGCAGCCAGTGGAGAATCAACCCCGGGTCGCCCGGCTCCAAACCACGCTCCTCCCGCTGAACCAAACAAACGTGCAGATCAACAACCACCTCGGAGTTGATGGACGGCAAGGGAAGACAGGTGGCCCTCTTTTAGGCCCGGGGGCTGGAGGTCTCTATGACCATAAGCAGGTGGGCTTGGAGTGGGTGGTCCCGATCCCGTTCCTACTCGGTTTCCTCCAGGGCCGCCACCCCACCCCCCACCCCAGGGCCCCAGACCTCCCACGGGCCAGGCGTTCCTCACCTCCCTGCCCCAGGAGAGGGTCCCAGCCAGCTCAGTGAGCAGGTGGACGGCGTTTGTTCGAGGGGATGGGTTCAGGGCGAGGTTATGTCCATCAGCTTTCAGGACAAATTCTCGGTTTATTAATTCTCCTCCATTACGCAGGCAAAAGTAAACAAGCTTTTCTCGGGCGGCCTGGCACAGAGGCCTTCCCTATTCAAACACTGCAAGAATCGACAGGCTTGGAAGTATGAGCTCCCAGCCCCGCTTCCCAGGGGGCCCCCTGGCCTCCTGCCCACGACGTCCTGGCCTGCCCAGACAGGCGATCTGGGCTTTGTGTGGTGGTGGCCGGCTCCAGAGTCCGGCGCTCCGGGCCTGGCAGTGGCCTCAGCTCTCCGGAGGGAGCACCAGAGATTTCCGGACACCTGGAGAGCTCCGGAGGAGGTCAGAAAGGGTCGGGCCACAGCCATGGGCACAAGGACAAGCATCACACTTGTGCACTTCACCCCTCCGTGAGGAAAGCGCTTGGTCAGGGCGTTCATATGATGCCTGCTTCCATTTAAGCCATGATTCGAAAGGTGCGCGGGGAAGAAAGGCAAGTCACGGTAACGAAATCAAAACAACGGCTAAGAAAGACTCTTCCGAGCAGGATGCTACAAGTGTTTCTAAGTAGTTGCTCAGGAGACTTTTACCTGCCGAGCCAAGACGGTTGCATGTTTTCAAGTCAAGCTGCAAGGACCAGAAGCAGGGAGGCACGAGAGAGGCGGGAGCTGCCTTGCCCTTGGACCAGCTGTGCACACGGCCCCGAGGAGGAGCTTGGCCAGGTGAGTCCTCCTGTGACCCATGTCACGAGGAAGAAGCTAGCATCAAACCTCCGCTGAAGGGAAGTGTCTTCACTGCTTCCCCCAACCCCCCAGAGCTGGAGGTTCCTTTGAATTATGTTCTTACAGAAAGAGCTCCCTCATCCCGCCTCCCAGGTACTGGGGGATGCTACTTCTCTACAACGCCTTCCCATTGCTGTTCCTCCTGGAAGGGTCCCCCGCAGCTCAACCAAAGGGGAATGAAGACTGCCCAACAACCCAAGACCGAGATCTCTGTGGTTTTCCACCATGTGGCCTCAGGCACTCCCTGCAATGCTCCTCTGTCCTTTCCTAGTTGAGGGCTGTTGACCTCACAGCGGGCCTGGCCTGCTCTCCACCAGGCGCACCTTCCAGCCAGGCCATGAGCCCTCTTTGTGCCCAAAGCCCAGGCCGCGTAACCCTTCCTGTACCAAGGGTCTGGGGACACCCGGGGACCCTTTCTCCCAGCAATATTTCTAAATGCAAAAATAAAACCCACAGCTAGTCCTGTGGGAATACACTAAACGAATAATACTGAAATATACCCATCCAAATATTTTCCAAAAACCCAGCTTTACGATATAGTTGTATAATATATGTGCTTCTTTATTAATGATTATAAATCAGGATCTAGCTGCGGGTCCGGTAACTTCCGTCCTTCCGAAGCAACAACGAACACACACAGCATTTCATGATCTCTGCAGCGACTTGAATGCGGTGTGAAATTCGCTGTGACTTCTGTGGGCTGCCCGCCCCGCCGGGGGTTTGTGGCCCACGGAGAGAGCGCTTGATTTCGGGCAGAAGTGAGGGGCAGTGAGGGTGTGATGCTCTTCCTGTCCGGGTTCCCGGCCCCATGAATCCTGTTCGTGGACCCCTGTGCTCAAGATGCCTTTTTCATCCCCATCCCCGCTTCCTGCCTTCTCTTCAGCCCCAGGAAGGAGTACCCGCCCCGACGGTGCTGGGCACACAGGCACCTTGCTACCCTGGGTGAACAAGCAGGAGGGTCTCGGGCCTGGGTAAAAAGCTAGTCTGCAGACACCAGGAAGCCCCCCTCCCTTTTATTCTCGGAGGGGGCATCACCGGAAAAATGCCGTGTGGCTCCATCCTCCTCAATCCAGCCCCGGGGGCCACCACGCACACCCAGCAGCTCCCCGATGGTGGTTCTGAGGAGTCTAGCAGCTCTGACCCCCCCACCCCTGCCATCCCCATGGCAAAGCAGGACACGCCTACCTTCCGGCTCCTCCACGCTGCTGGCGGCCGTGGTCGGTGGTGCCACAGGGATCTCTGTGAGGTTCGGGATGGGAGGAAGAGAAAACGAGGTAAAAAAGATGTTATTTATGACCTTAGAAGAGGATGGGCAGAGCACAGACTCCTCCCTGGGCCCTCCTCCCTTCCCCACTCCTCAGCCCTAGAGGAGGAGGGCCAGGAGCTGGAGGAAGCCGGCATGGGGGCCCGGAACGTGGCCTTGTTCTCCTCTGGATGCTGTCCCCCCACCAGGCAGGGACAGGAGTAGGGAGAAGGCAGGGCGGGCCCACAGCGTGGAGGGCTGACCGCCCCCCCGCCATACGATGTGATCGCTCCCCTCTGACCTCCCCCGGCTGGCGGGTGGAGGGGGAGGCTTCCATGGCAGGGGTGGCAGGCGAGGGGGCTGGGAGGTGTCTCATGCATGCGGGGGGGGGGGTCTGCACCCCTGGCCCAGGTTCCCACCAGCTCACACTTTTTTCGGTGGCCAGAAGACTGACTAAGGAGGATCAGAGGGCCTGAGAGAAGCATGCACTTTACAGGGGTTGTTCCCTTTCTACCTCGAATGCCAATTCTTTCCTACTAGCTCCTGACTCCGCCCTGTGCTCAGGAAAGGTGAGGAGCTTCCTCCAGTCTCTGGGAAAGTCGCCCAGGCATCCACCAAAAGTCCCCAAGGGGAGGGACTCGCCTCCTCCATGAACAGGGGGGCCACAGAGGTCTCCACGAACCCCCCAGACTCTGGCCACCATCTGACTATTCGGGGTAAGACCTCCCTCAACCTCCAGACAAGATCAGCTGGGACCTGAGGCTTGGTGGGTCGAGATGCTCAGGCCTGGGGGCATGCCTGAGACCCAGCCCTCCATTCGGGGGCCTGCTCTTGCCCTCGGTGGGATTTTATCAGCACTGAAGCTACAGGTGTCCTGCCACAGCAGCTCAGTAAGACGCGGACCACAGACCGGGCCTGCTCTTAGCCCCCAGGAGCTCCGTGGTCCTGATGGCTCAGGTATGTGCAGCAATGGGCGTGGGCCTCGGGTGAGCTCCGGGAGGTGCACAGAGGGCCCGGCTCCCAGAGCTGTGCCCAGACAGGCAGGAGCCCCCCGGGGGGAACACGGTTTGGGTGCCTGTAGCTGGCGGCCGCAGCAAGAGCTCCCAGAAACCCCAGGGTGGACAGCCAGGTCCTCAGATGGCTGGCGGGAATGCCTGGCCTCTGCCGGAGCGGGTCGCAGAGTGAGACTTCCCGCTTCCCCAGGTTTCTGTCCCTGACTGTGAACCATCAGCTCCATTTCAAGGTCCTTCCCCTTGGGGCTTTGAAGTGGCGGCTCCAGCCACTTCTGAGCTTGTTTGTTTTTCTTATGTTTTCACAACCCCTGTGGGCAGCGCTGGGTTTCCTCCCAGCTTTCTCAAAATGTTCACTTTGCAGCTTTTTGGCTAGACGGAAGAGAAGGGTTTCTGCAAACTGTGAGACTCTGATGAGTAGAGGTGGTCGTGGAAACCGTCTCAAGGTGATCTGTGCCGGATGGATATTTCAATTTCCCGGGGCCGGAATTTGGGTTATCCACTGGGACCGGACCCCTGGGCCAGCAGACTCTCCTAGAAAGAGCCAGCTAGTAAATATGCCCAGCTCCGCGGGTCCTACGGACTCTGTTGTAGCTACTCAGTTGTGCTAGAGCTCCAAGCAGCCACGGATAACAGGTACGCGCGGGCGCGGCTCCGTCCCCATAAAACTTCATGGATGCTCCACTTTTCATTTCAAGCATTCCACATGTCATAAAATACTCGTCTTCTGACTTTGATTTCAATCATTAAAGAATTATTAAAAGAAAACACTGAGCCCCACCAAAACAGGTGGTGGGGTCAAATCCCCGGGCCAGCTAACCCCTGCTCTAGAGAAGCAGACCCGCCGGGATCCGCTCCTTTTTCTGCTCTCCCTTCTGGGTTAGGTCAGCCCTGCACAAAGGAATCAGGAAGGCCGGGGCCAGGGCCCGGCTCCCAGCCAGGCCTGGCTTCCAACCAAGGCTAAGTCTCCACCCATAATACCTGGTACAATCCTACCAGTTATAAAACATTAAGTCCCTTCTGCGCCAGGGCCCCTGAGTGGTCCCTGCCGTCTTGCTCACCCCGTCCTCTAGTTCCAGCAACAAAGGGGCTAACAGCTGGTCCAAGGGGCCCCCAGGACTCTCAGGGGAGCCATCATCTGTCATAAGGGCCGTGAGGGGGCCACACCTGGGAGCCTGTAGGGTCAGCCCCTTCTGCTCCAAATCTGCCAGGGTCCGGGGATCCTGGAATGCCCACCACAGCAACCATGGCAACCCCTGGTACGAGGCCACCCCAGGTCTGGGAGCCAAGGCAGAACATGGGACTAGGCCCCAGGTAGAGGAAAGGGGCTTGCTTCCCCCTGGGAACGGGAGACTCAGTCTTTATCAGGACAGAGGAGAAGCAGGCTGCCTATGCTGAGCTCCCAGCTGCTTCTGCAAGAACCCCCCAGGCTCGGGGGTCTCGCACGGGGTCCCACATGGAAAAGCGCTCAACCCGCTGGACGTCAGCGGGGTTCAGAGAGGACTTCCCTCCCCCACAGCCCAGCCAGAGCCCGGAGGAGGGGGGGGGCGCCTGGCACCACGTACTTATGCAGGGGGCGATGGGAGAGCGGCTCTGCTGATAGCCCTTGGCGCAGCGGTTACAGGTAATGCCCGTCACACCGTCCTTGCAGGGACACTGGCCCGTGGTCTGATTGCAGGTCTTGCCGGCCGCGCCCACGGGGTGGCAATCACAGGCTGTGGAGGACACACGACAGGAGGGTTAGAGGGTGGCAGGCGGGGGCGGGGGGTGGTCGGCCCCTCCCTCGCGATCCCGCCCCGCCTCAGGGTGCCCCATGGACCCCCACCCCGGCAGACGGGGGGAAGCGTGGGGATGAGGGAGGCAGGCCCAGTCAGGCCCCCCCCCACACACATATTCTAAAAGCTCTGATCACGGGCCACCTGCCTCCCTGGAGATGGGGACTGGAAGTCAGAATGGACCACTGTGAAAGGCTGTTGGGCAGCCGCGAAGTACGGCAGGGGAGCCCCTCCAAAGCCCCGAGGGGAAGACAGGAAGGAAGGCAAAGCCCTCAGGCTGATCATAAGCGGAGGAGTCTGACTCCCCACAAGGTAAGTCTGTGTCTCCCCACTCCTCTGCCCCCCAGGCCTCCTTCCCTCCCCTCCATGTTTGGGATGCCATACAGCCTTGGGGTTTGCCAGGTCAGAGGGGGTGGCCAGGGAGGTGAGACCCACCAGGCTGCCGCGCCCGCCCTGATTTGCAGCCAGGAGGTCCGAGGTGCCACCAGTAAATTGTGGCACCAGACCACAGCAATCACCTAGTTAAACACCCTGATTAGAAGTGCAGAGAGCAGCGAGGTATGAAGGAGCCTCCAGGGGCTGCGCAAAAAGGGAGTGGCCATGCTGGGAGGCGGAGGGCCCCACAGAGCAGGCCCCACACCCCTTGTCCTGGTTCGGAACAGGCTAGAAAGCTGGGGTGGCCCACCCTGGTGTGCTACATCCCAGGGTACCTCCCTGTGTTCCAAGGACATGATCCCAGGGACAGAGTGGCCAGAGGACTTTGGGGGGGGACATCCCCACTGCTATGGACTGAAGTCTTGTGTCCCCCCAAATTCACGCTAAAGCCCTAAACCCCAGTGTGGTGGGGCCTTCGGGTAGTGGTCAGGTTTAGAGGGCGTCGTGGAAGTGGGCCCCCTTCTGAGAAGAGGAAGAGCGAGATCTGCTGCACAAGCATCCAGCAAGAAGGCCGCCCCCCCCACCCCAGGAAGCCGCCTTCCCCAGACACGGGATGTGGGGTGCGCTGATCTTGCACTTCTCAGCCTCCGGAACCGTGAGAAATAAAATGCTTGCTGTCTAAACCACCCCGTCTGTGGTGTTTGTTATAGCAGCCCGAGCATCCAAGGTGCCCACCAACCCCGGGGGGCTCGGGCAAGAGGAGCTATGCCCGCACAGAGGGGGCACCCGAGTTCCCGGCCCAATCCCGCTTCCCGGAATCCAGGGTGGGCTCAGGGTGCAGGTAGGGGGAGGCAGGGAGGATGAAGGGGGCAGACATGCAGGCTCTCCTTCCACTGCCCACCCCCTTCCCCGGGGAAGCCCGGGTGTGGGGCGCAGAGGCAGGGGGGTGGGGGGCGAGCCGTCTGCCGAAAGCTGCTAAGTGTTTCTGCTCCAAATGGGGAGAAAAAGCATCCAAGAACAGAAGTGTGAGCAGAGCATCCAGCAGAGTGTCCAGCCAGCACTGCCCGATGAGACACGAGCCCGCCGGTGAGAACGTGGCCGCCCCCCGACCCCCAAAGTTGGCCCGGACTGGCCCAGACGAGGAAAAGTTGGAAGCAGGAGGCAGAAAGGACAGGAATGTGAGGAATTGTTTGTCAAAGTGGTGTCTGGACATGTGGAAGCTTCTGGAAGCTCTGTGGGTGGGGGTCCTGGCCGTGGGCGCCCCCCCGGTGAGGCTAGCGGAGGGCAGGGGACACGGGCCGGGGACGGAAGGAACGGGGGTGGCGCACGGGCAGCCCGGGCTGGGGTGGGGTGGGGTGGGGGGGGTGGGGTGGGGGGCCGTCAGCAGGTTTCTCCTGTTGCAGGATCCACGGGAGGACAGTGGGGCTGTCCCCGTATTGTCCCTGTAAGCAGCAGTAAATCCTCCCGTTAGGAACATGTCTTCTTCAATCTCCCCTAAATTCAAGTTCATCCCCCGCTGGTCTGGTCTTGCGTTCTCTCTTCTCTCGTGGTGAGAAAAGACTCAGGCTGGGGACGATGCTGTGAGGAGGGGATGTCTGGAGAAGCCCTCTGACCTTTCCCTGCGCCCTGAAATCCCGCTCCTGCGGTGGGAAGGCGGATCGGGCCTGGGCAGCATCTCTGAGAGGGCAAAAGCACCACAGCATGGGAACCCGCTGTCCCAAGCCCGGTGGGGCCACGGGGCGCCGGGCGGATGTGGACACCCAAGGCTCATGCTAGCTGACCTCCCATGGCCTGCTTTGCAAGCCTGCTGGTCATGCTAAGATTCGTGCCAAGCCCTCCCCCCCTCCGTGCTGACGGAACACAGCTGTGCGCCAGGAACTTCTGGATCCGAGCCCTTGGCTGGGAGGAGGTCACCAAAGGTTGCTTGGGCACTGAGGGGTCAGAGCCGAGTCACCCAGAGGCACAGGTCGTCTTTCCCGAAGCAGGAGTGGTGCAGAGCAAAATCTCGGGGGGCTGCAGTGGGCGGACGGCACTGTCCTCGCCTCGCAGCTCGGTGACCCGTCAGCCGCTTGGGCTGGCGAGCCGCTGGGGCCGGGGGGCGGATAGCCAGGCACCAGCTGACGGCGGCTGGGGACAAGGGCCATCCTCAGTGATGGCGGGGAGCCGGCACGTCCTCCGGGCCCGTCCTTTGATTAAAGAAGGGGGTGCTTCGCTGCTGGGTTTCCAATCTTTCTCCCCAGATTTTGCAGAGACTGTGAGCCCCTGGCCCCCTCGCCTGGTCTGACAGAGGCAGCAAGCAGGCTGGCTGTGTTTCCATGAAAAAATCCCTGTTCCGGGAAGAGAAGCCATCGGGATGCCAAAGGGGGGCGGGGGGGCCTCCAGCACAGCACACCACCCGAATGCCTGGGAACACCTGAGCATATCCACACATCGTCCCCTCGGGTCCTCCCACCCGCCTGTGGAGTCCGCACGACCACAGAGGACGAGACTGCGGGCTGCCCAGGAGAACCCCAAGGGAAGGGAGGCAGTAAGGGCCTGATCTCTCAGGGCATCACGGAGACCCTCACCCACTCCGGACAGCCCCCTCTGCACTTCTTGGTCTAGAAGGAGAAATCCCAGTTTACCTGGCTTGGAGGGTTTTCTGTTACCTGGGGGCCAAATGTAATCCCAACAGACTTGCGTTGCACTCATTCTCGATTCCAAGCAACAGAGCCCCAAAGCAAGGACCTTCCCCCCAAAACCCACATATAGGGAAAGCCCAAATTATGTCCTCTATGCAAAGAAGGGTGAGCTTCCAGGTGTGAGGACAAGTGACAGGTGACCATGCCCCACGGTGGGTTCCTCTGCAGCCTGAGACAAGACAAGCACCTGGCAATGTCCAAGGAAGGGAGTCTGAGCCCACCAGTTACAAAGGAGGCTCCGGACCCCGGCCCTTAGGGAGAGAAAGCCAAAGGGATCCCGCCATATTCATTCACCCCAGAAACACACCCAGACACGCTTAGACCCACACACATAGACCGCACAGGCTCACCTGGGACCACAGCAGGCAGGGCAGTGGAGGGGCGGGGCCGAGCAGGGGTGTGGGGGGAAGTGCAGATCTTCCCCCGGGGCAAGGGGTCTGGTGAGGGGACAGGGAGAGAGCCTCCCTAATCCTTCCGAGAATGGGGTCTGGGGCAGAGCGCCTGCCGCCACTGGAGGGCCATCCGGACTCCTATTTCCCTGGAAGTCAGCCACTTTTTCGGAGGAGGTCAATCCCTGCCGTGGCAGGTCACCCTGTGCTCATGGGGCAGGCAGCACCTGGTCATGGGAACCGATCTACCCGAGGGTTTTTCCGTCAAGAGGAAGGTGAGACCAGACGGAAGCCCAGGGCCCTGAGAAGGCAGCAGGGTTAGGTTTCTCACGCACGCGGCGGGCTGGAGTGCCTCCCGGCGTGGAGGGGAACCTGGGCCGTCTGCTCTGGGCCATCAGTCAAGGACAGCCGGCTCAGGGCACACGGACGGTTTCCTAGGGGCGGCAGCACACCCAGGGCTGGGCCCGTCCTGCCAGGACCGCTGTGTGACTCTGGATTAGTGCCTTGCCCTCTCTGGACCACAGGTGGCTCTTCCACTTTAACAGTCCAATGCTTGGTGTCTATGGCTTCAAGGCCTCAGGCAGCACCCCCACCCCCCCACTGCTAGAGGTCACCGCAGTCCTGGCCCAGAGGACACGCTGCCTGGTGCACCAGGCCTTCCGTCCACACCCAGAGCCCTGGCAAAGTTGACCTGAAAGGCAGACAGTCCCGATCCCGGGCTGCTTGTCTCCAGCACTGCCTCTCCCAGCTTCTCCTGACGCCCTACGCCCTGGGTCCCTGAGGATGGGGCCGTCCCTGACGGCCTGCATCAGGAGACGATGTGTGTCCGAGGCCGGCATCCTCCACCACAGCTCACACAGTATTTGGAAACCCATCCTGGATTTCCTCCCTCCTATCAGGAGATCTGGCTACTTCTCCTGCAGGTTGACTCCAGGGGCCCCCGGGGTCAGGCAGGACCCTCCAGGGGACATGCTTGTGAGGAGAGGGGAGCTGCCTTGGCACCCAGACCCCCTGGAGCTGCTCCAGGTGGGAGGGGAGAGTTGGAACAACCCAGCACCGACCCTGGCTTCAAAAGGTCACCGTGGCTCACACATTTTCACATCTTGTGCTAAGCCTTGACTCAGCATCTTCTTCCCCAGGCCCATCGCTGGCAGATGAACAGCCTGGGGGTCCCGAGCATGCTGTCAGTGAATGTGGCTGCTCCCCAGAGCCGACCATGGGGCCGCCTGGGGCTCCAAGGCCTGCAGCTCATGCCCAAGGCCATGTCTGCCTGTGGTGCTGGGTAAGGGGGAAACATCCTTCTCTGCTTCTCTGGGTGCCTGGATGCCATCCACAATGAAGGTAAAGGCAGGCAGGACCCTCCGTGTGAGCCAGGCTGAGCTCCAGCTACTGTGGAGGGTCAGGGAGGGAGGGGAGAGGTGGTAGGAGTAAGGAGGAGGGAGGAGGGGAGGGGAGGATGAAGGAGGAAGGAGAAGGAGTAGGAAAGAGTAGAAAGGGGAG